TAATAACCTCATTTATTAATTACATTTTGATTTTTTAATAATTTATCTTTTTCTTCCTTATTTTAATGTATTAATTTTATTTCATTATAATTATAATTTTCATTTCATTTATCGTAATATATTTTATAGTAAACATTTAGATAAACTAAGTTTTGTTATACAATATATTTCGATGTATTTTGTCTTCTTCATTTAGGTACGTTAAATTCATTATAATACATTTCGGCATACACATTTAGGTACATACATTTCGATACAAACATTTAGGTACATGAATTCAATATAATGCATTTCGGTACATACATTTCGGTGCATACATTTCAGTAGACACATTTAGGTACACACATTTCGAGACACACATTTAGGTACATTAACTTAATATAATACATTTCGGTGCATATATTTCAGTACATACATTTTGGTACATATATTTCAGTACATACATTTCGGTACTAACATTTAAATACATTAAAATAATATAATACATTTCGGTACTAACATTTAGGTACATTAATTGAGTTTTTCAAGTTTGAAGAATGTTAGATAAAATTAATAAATTAAAAAAAAACTTTTTTTGGTAAAAAAATAAATTAAAATTTGTATATTAATAAATTAAAATATTTAATGAGAGACATTAAATAAAATGCAATTAATTATTTTGAATTAAGGACACATCAAGGGACTATGATCAATATATAATCTAACACCAGGTTTAATTTAAATTTCAATCTTCTTGAAGGATTAAAGTTAAAATTGTGAATTGCTTTCTTGATGGAACAATTACAAAACGGAACTTAGTGCATTTTTTAGCATTGAACCCTCAAGACTGTTCAGCAACTATAAATAAGTTGGTGTTATTTATTATTTATTCAAATAGTCCTCACATTTGTAACTTGTGTGGTTTAATAGGACCACACAAATAGTTTATATAATGTGAGAATTAAAAACTTTTGATTCCGGGGTTTCCTTATGCTCTTCCGAGTATGCAGATGGGGCGGCAGACGTTACTTTCACCACTTCCTTGGGACAAACACAGAGACCAGCTGCGCTGCATTTGCATTTGGCGGGGTTATCGCAATCTTTAGGTGTTGTGCACAGACCAGGTTGCCAAAGATTCACTGCTTCGACTCCAAGTTGCACACCTACCACAAATATTTCCTTAATTATTAATTAGAAATATCACATGCATAATACAATATATGTGGCAAGTTGCATAATTTTACAGAGAAAAGTCGACCAGGGAAATATGATAAAAAGGTGAATGAGTGAAAAAAAATTATATGAGCAAAGTATTTTACCAGCAGATGCAACTAATAAAGCAACGAAGAAAACCAGCTTGAGCGAACCTTTATCCATGTTTCAAATTTTTGATACCAGAGAAAAGTGATTATGATTGTTGTGCGCTTGTAGTGCGGTGCAAAACTTAATTTATGAGTTGCTATGCTTCTCTAAATCTACGAGTAGTTGAAATTGAGAATTGTTTTCAATAACTTTAGGTCTTTGTAATGTTGGAGTAAGCTGAGTATATTATTGTAATAATTGCATATCTGTACACGTTGGTTCAACGAATCGTCTCATGCATGAGTTTTGCAAGTTTTACAATTTGTCAAACATTAATAGTAAATTAGTTGGCCCGAATCAGATTCCAAACTATATTAGTTCTATTTCATGCCTTAAATAATATGGTGTCTAAAATTAGTCAGATCTTGAGTAGCTATAAATTTAATTTCTATGCTAATTGTGTTATATGAGATCAAATCTTTTGCAATTAAAATGGGTGTAGGCTCTATCTGATTCCAATTATTGATTGATAAGTGTTTAAAAAAAATCTTAACTTTATTGTATAAACTTAATATATGTCAAACAATAATTAGTGTCACACAGAGACCACATATTTTGGATGCAGAAGATTTGATCTCGCATTATACGCTATCCAAACTTATAACTATATATATGCCGTGTTTGAAATTTCTTTCCTATCTATACACAGATAATATATGTTTTCTGTCATTTGACGGAAAAGGCTTTAGATGGTTTATGGTGATCATGTTTTTCAAGGTGCAAATCACTTCAGAGTCTATGCATGCAATTGGGTCGATTTGGCTTTCTGGCAAAGGGAGTTTAGGGGTTTTTCGGAAAGACCCTTTTCTCTAACTTTCTAATGTGCCGCTTCAGCTTTGTTTTCATGAATTTGTTCATACTATCATGTCAATGTTAGGTTCATGCTACTTGGAATGTCTACTTTGTTTCGGATGTGAATGATGAGTGGGTTCTTCTGATTGCTCCAGTGATCATCATTAACATAGAATTGCAATTGAAATACATATTTCACCTTCTTTTTCTGTGCTCTTCAAGGTTATTGATGAATGCAATATATTTTTATTTTACTAGTCTGAACATAGATACATCTTTCTGTTGCGTCAGTTTTTACCTATAGTTTGGTGGTTTAATTAACAATTTCAAGTATGTGTGTGTAAGATCCCACATCGTTCAGGGGTGTGGATCTTATAAGCCTTATATGTATATTTCCATCTCTACCTAGCATAATGCCTTTTCGGAGCTCACTTGCTTCAAAGTTCATCGGAACTCCGAAGTTAAGCGAGTTCGGGAGAGAGCATTCCCAAGATGGGTGACCCACTAGGAAGTTCTCGTGTGAGTTCCTAGAAACAAAACCGTGAGGGCGTGGTCGGGGCCCAAAGCAGACAATATCGTGCTACAGTAGAGTCGAGCCTAGGATGTGGTGGGGGTCCGGGCTACGGTAGAGTCGAGCCTAGGATGTGGTGGGGGTCCGGGCCGGGATGTGACAATTTGGTATCAGAGCCAATCCCTAGTCAGAAGTGTGCCAACGAAGACGTCGAGCCCCTAAGGGGGGTGGATTGTTAGATCTCACATCGTCCAGAGGAATGGATCATGTAAGCCTTATATGTATATTCCCATCTCTACCTAGCACGAGGCCTTTTGGAAGCTCACTGGCTTCAGGTTAGAAGCCTTTTGGGAGCTCACTGGCTTCGAGTTCTATCGAAACTCCGAAGTTAAGTGAGTTCGGGCGAGAGCATTCCTAGGATGGGTGACCCACTGGGAAGTTGCTCGTGAGTTCCCAGAAACAAAACCGTGAGGGTGTGGTCGATGCCTAAAGCGGACAATATCGTGCTATGGTGGAGTCGAGACCAGGATGTGGTGGGGGCCTGGGCCGGGATGTGACAGTGTGTGTGTGTGTCTATATATATATGGGATAGGATCAAGGGAAAGATTTTGACAAATATTTTTACACTTTTTTTTAACCTTTAGATTTTATATCATCCAATGGTCCTAATTAAAAGTGATGCGGAGGATTTGAATTAATAAATAACATAAATGATGACATGGAATATAAATAATCATACATAAATAAAATCTGCAAAACATAGGAGGGAGGGATGAAGACCTCCATTGATTTCGTGATTGCCCAGAACAACCAAATTTGGTCTTTGTTCATGACAATTTGACCAAATGGAATAAAGAGTGATAATTACAACTTAAGAACTATCTAAAATTGAAGATATCAAAGTTTTACCATAACCCAGTTCTCACCCAAAATGCTAAGAATGAAGACTTAATTTAGGGTTTAAGTTTGTTTATTTAACAAAAGATTCAAGAGATTGAGTGATAGCTTGATATGCTTTGTGTGCTTTGGAATATTGTATGAATCAAACTAAAGTAGCATTTAGTGAACGTGTTGGAAACTTGTTTATCATGACATTGGGATTAGGTTTTGATGAACAAGTTATATCCTCTATAATTTTTGGACGGTGCTCTTGCAATTCAAGAGTTAAAACCATAAGCACTTCTATAATTAAATTCCACTCTTATGTTTTTCTTAAGAAAAATCTATTGGTTTCATTGCACATATATATATTAATCAATTAGAATCTACGGGATATGGGGTTTCAGAAATATGGAATTTGAAAGAAGAAGAGGAAGAAGAAGGATTGTTGATTTTTTTTCTCCTTACATGATTCTTTTTTTTTTTTTTTTTGAAAAAATAAAATTACTTAAATTAGTTTATTTATCTATTTCAATGTCACTGCCATGTCAACGAGAACAATTTAAGTTTTACTTAGGGACCGCTAGATTAAACTAGATCTAAAGGTTGGAAAGAACTGTAACAATATTTGTCAAAATCTTAGTAAAAGGGTTTTCTCATGTTTTTTTTAATAGATCAATTCAAAACCTTTTAGCATCAAAATTTTGACGTTACAGTTTTAAGAAATGAATAATTATTAGTACATAGAGGCAACTAACAATCCACGACACTGAGTTAGTTGCACTTATGGATTGCTTTCTTGAAGGAACAATAACAAAACGGAACTGAGTGCACTTTGTAGCATTGAACCCTCAAGACTCTGCATCGTCGACCATTTAGCGATTACTTAAGCATTATGTCAAATATCACGGGGATTCTTTTTGTTTTGCGCCACAGTCATGCTTCCGACAATTGACTCTCCTTGACATACTGTTAGCACATCTTCCAGGTACAGGATTGTTTGCTTCCAGTGTGTAGACCGTGATCTTGGCCCTGTGGAGAAGCCCATCAATTTATTGACACTTCGTAAACGACAGACCAAAATAGGCTACAAGAGCCTGAATGAAATCATCATCACGTTCAGCAACAAGCTTGAAAGGGACCCTGAAGGAAGCATCTCCTGGAGTCATCTTAGATATATCCGTTGTCTTGAGTAGCTGACTGTTTGTAAAAATTTGGTTTTGGTCAACGGTGTCCACAAGGGGCTCCATCATGGCTTGCTTCTTGATGCAGCTCATGTCAAAGCCATAAACATTGTTCCAAAGTTCTATCTTGTCCTCTTTGTAGTCTGCGTCTCTCTTTTCTCATGTTCTTTTGTTAACCTGCTCATTACTCTAATGATTTGAGTAGTGGGTTTTTTTTACTGTAACTCGATAGGTTCAATATTAAGGAAATTATTTCAAACACGGAAGGGGCGAATTAAGATGACTTGGAAGAATGAACTGAAACAGAAAATTATAATACAAGTACATAATGCTTCAATTTTTGTATTTGAGTAATTTCAGTTTCACTTTCATTAGGCTAATTTGCTATCTCGAAGAGGAGGATAGAAATCAAATCCCAAAGATTTCTATCTCAGTGCACATAACATACAAACTTGAATGCTGAAAGCTGTGTAAATCACATATACAGAATGAACAAATGCATCAAGAGGAGCACAATCCCAGTTTTTAGCAGCTTGATTAGTGTGTCTCTTGATGAGCCACTGCTTCCACTTCGGTGTGCTGGGTGAAAAGGCGTAGAGAAATTCACCGGAGATGCGCCTGAAAAGAAATATGACATTAGTGAGTATTTAACCATGAACTCAACAAACAACTAAGTTTGTATGGGAAGGAAATTAGAAAGAAGAAAAGAGTAGTTTAATTAGACTTACAGTTGTAATTAGCCCAAGCGAGTTGTTGACGGGCTAAATCATATACCACAATCTTATCCCTTAGAATAAGATCTGCAATACAAGTTACAAAACAACTACTTTAAATATAGTAATTGTAATAATAATAATAATAATAATAATAGCATTAAATATTGTAACATTTTTCTGAAATTTTCACGGTAGTGTTAGAGGCCTAACCTCCTAACACTGTCAAGCCTCGGCTTGCCCCATGAGCTTTCTTGAAACCTAAGCACCACATAGCAGCACCAACCTGTAACCAATAGAATAGAACAAACCATTCAGTTTACACATTCCGTACAATCATTAGTACGATGATATTCATTTGCTCTGAACAAATAGCATTTTTTGTTTCTTTTGGTTAATTCGGAAGCCTCACATGAGATCCTGAATATAGCAGGTAGTCTTGTGGTTTCAAAGTCATTGACGCACCAGCTGCAAAGTTGAGTGTGACCGAAGGAAATGACTTTCCCAAACTGAAAGGTTAATGGAAATACATTATGTCTTGGTTTTTCTTTTAGAATGAGTGACTCTGTGTGAAAAAGAGAGAACTAACCTGGTGTAGATCAGATAACATTGCGACTCTCCTGAAATGATCAGAGACACAAAGTTGGAAGCTGAAGTTATCTGCACAAGCAACAAAAACAAAATCAGCTCCGAACAAAGAATAGAGATATTGCACAACCACACACTCAAGAACGGAAATGATTTAAAAGTTAAAAAAGAATAGCAATTGACAATGGCAATCAAACAAAGTAAACAAACATACCGCATGGACAAGAGGTTCATATGCCTCTTCTACAAAAAAAGCCAACGTGGTTCCCGTGTCAACTAAAGTAGCACGCTCATCTGATGTTCTGAAAGTTGCTGGATCAATGGGCAAGATTTGTCCATTGACTGCAATGCTTTCAAGGTTGATTGCATAATAAGACTTTCTGAAATAGTAATTAAACTAGTTATATTAACTCAAAAGATAAAATACTCATCAAATTTTCAATTAAACAAAAAAGTTCAAGGATATAGTGCTTACTTGGGGACAAGGGGAGTATACACAATACTCGGCTCCAAAATCTCCCCAAGTACGAGTATACCTCCACCATTTCCATCTCCCTTTAAACAGTGAGAGAAGACACTCGGAGTTATCCCTCGAGAGGATAACTGTGATATGACAGACAATGGGCCTTGGCTTAATCCCAATACCCCATTGAGTGAAACCTCAGTCCTAGCCAAAAGACCGGACACCGTGGTAGCACACCTGTTTCCAAAAATATCAAGGAAATAATGTACTCAGCATCATCATCTTTTGCTACTAGCTATGTGGCAACACTACCAGGCAAAGTACACTAAATATATATATCTCAATTTAGCATTAATTCTAACAATTAAGCTCTAATAAAGAGATGCTGAGAATTTTCAATTTTAGCCAATTAATAATAAACAGATGCTTGAAATTTTACTATTTAGTTTACGCACCCAAAAATAATGCGTGTTGAAGATCCATGTGCAACTTGAGAGTGCACTGGAATCATATCAAAAGAAAACTCATCTGATACGAAATAACCGGTGGTTTCTGCTCCGCCCGTATACGGAATATTATACTCGCACTGGTTGCTATCGTCAGAGCAATGTTTGCACCTTCCGTCCGAACAAGGGAGCAGTCCCGCAGTAGAGGAATTGTCATAGTCATAGAGACTAATGGGAGTCTGTTAAACATGTAAAAGTACACTTAGGAAAACGAAATAACAGATAGAAGATTAGCATTGAAACAAAACTCCGGTAAACATGTATATAGTCAGTCATGATCTCAATTCAAGAAATAAATTACACTTTAAAACTATTAGCTACGTTGAAGGATTTGAGAAAATGAAGAAGAAAAGAGGAACCATGAAGCAAGAAAATGAAAGGCTCTGTATTCAGTAAAATGAAACCAGGGATCGTTACAAATCAAATGAGCTGCAGAGCTATTTATACAGCTATAATCTAAGCTTTACTTAGCTCGGAAGCCTTTAACTATGTAATCTCTCCTAACAAACATTTATAGCCACTCTAACGATAAGGCCATATACAACGAATCACTTATCACTATCCCCCAACCCCCAGATAAAACAAATCTCAAATGGGGAACCCCAGTTTTGAGATTAGCACAATGTCTCACAAACACAGGGCTATGCAATCCTTTGTTGGAATGTGACCTGTGGGCATGTACTGAACAATACTATCATCCTTCTGAACATTACGGCTGATCATGATGTGTGGACAGATCCATTTTTGAAGACAATGGACAGTTTGGAAGATCTCTTAATTGGTTCTGATTGTGGGAAGTGGATGTATCGAACAACATATGAAAAACTACCTCTACTTTTAAACCAACAAAAGGTGGCTCTGCTAAACAGAGGACTATGAAGTCCCAACATCTCTGTAGACTTTTGGTGGACGTTCACCAAAACAGCTACTATTTACAGGAGTTGTACGCCTTGAAATGGAGCCTGTTGATTTCTGGACTGAGAACTGGATGTGTTTGTGGACGGAGAAGGAAAGGGTCTTGTGGACTATCCGACAAAACTATAAGCATTAGGCATTGAAACTAGATCTTGTGGTTGAGGATAAACAGGAGCAGTAGGCATGTAGCTTGCAGGATTACCCTTCATGGGATTTACCTGCTCATAACATGGGATTTAGCATTTGAGAAAATGAAAAGAATAAAAGAGGAATAGGAAGTAAGAGAATGAAAGGCTTTGTGTTCAGTAAAATGAAATCAGGAATCGTTACAAATCAAATGAGCTATTTATACAACTACAGTGTAAGCTTACTTAGCTAACAAGTCATAAGCCCTTAACCAATTTTTTGTAACCTCCTAGCAAACACTTGTAATCACTCTAATCACCTGGACCAATTACACAAGGCCATATACAACCAATCACGTAAGGACACTTGCCAATTAGTATACCAATATCTATGACAACAACCACCAAGGTTTAACCCACTAAATGGGGTCGGCTACACCAACATCTATGACAATAGACAATTAATTTTGTACCAGTCTCAAAATGTCTCTAAACCGTTTAGCAGCGGTTTAAACGGGCAAAACTTAAAAACGTTAAAAAATAGCATACAACGAAAGAAAAACAAAACAAAAAACTTACCCCAAGTCCAGTAAATAGAGGGCATACATTGCAGGAACTGCAGGAAACCCAGAACACCTCACTGCCGGTGTCAATCAACACATAGAACTCTCTTGGTGGAGAGCCTATTTTCACCTTCGTCAAATAGACCCTAGATTCATAAATCATGCAAGAAAACTAGTCATTAACTTTCTATACAAGTATAGTTTTAATAAACCTAATTAGAGACTAAAATACAAGAGAAATATGATATAAGAACTTGCTATAGTTATGTCTCAGAAAAATTATGCATGGTACTACCTCAAATTGCTACCTTCTACAAATTTAAGACAAAAGTTATATATGAGTAGAATATCATAAGGTAGTGCCATAAATTGCTATAATTATGTCTGTTCCTATACAACAGCTTCCAAGAAAAAATATATATATATATTATATAGGTTCAACTTCCAGCATCAAATAAGTAAATTAATGTCATGCAGTTTGAAGCAAGAAAACCCAAAAACTTGATTACCCGGCCGCTAAACCTTACCATACAAATTTTACACGTACGGATAAATAAATAATGAAAAGATTACCCGATGGGAGAGTGGATATGCTTTGGGAAGGCGACCGACAATTTTACAACACCACCCAAAAACTGGTGGTGCCTGACTGTGTCCTGAGCTTGGAGCTGCTCTAACTCGACACGGTGATTCATCGGAAATGCTCTATGTAGATGAAAAACATTTCCGGCGGAGACAACAAAGATAGAAATGACAACCACCAAGGCAAAAAGCACGCAGGCTCCCATTCTGCTAAGCATATGAAAAATTAATCAACCTGAAATGTAGTTAAAGGGGCTATGGGTGCAGTTACTCAGTGACCATAAAGCTAGCTAATGAATTTAATATCGGGACAAAGATAGATTACGGTGGTTGTGTGCTTGTTCCTTTTTTCATATATAGGAAGGTTCTTATTTCTTCTTCCTCTGAGAGAGAGAGAGAGAGAGAGAGAGAGAGAGAGAGAGAGAGAGCATGAGAAAAGAAAAAGGCCCGGGAAAAGTTTCTTATTTTAACTTCTCTTGTATTTTGTTGCTTTATGTTTGTGGGTGCACAAAGTGTACAATTTTCTCCTGCAGCAGCCTTGAAGAGCTTAATAAATGGATTGGATTGGAGAGCTACCTTTAAGCCTAAAGTTGACAAGGGTCACTACTTTTGGGGTCCATTATTTTCCAGAAATGTCAATTGAAGCTTTTAAGCTTCTTTTGTTAACCCTAAACAGAAACAGGCCTCCTCCTCTTCCAGTAGTACTTGTGTAATAAAGGGAGAACTCATTCGAATGGGGGCCTGTTTGTATGTATTTGCCTCGTGTGCTGCTGTTGTGGTCCTGTACCTACTTTTTGAGCTTTTGTTTTCCTCTTCGGCTTTTAAGGATTGACGACATTTTCAGTATTCCTACTTCACTTCCCTTTCCTTCCAGTTAAAAATTGAAACCTTGCTTCTAGCATACCGTTTTACTCTTTCGCTGTTCACGTATGTATACAAACTACCAAACCGGAGGATCGCATTAGTTAATTCACATTTGATTTGTTAAGTATACGGATTATCCTTCATTAGTTTAACCACATGTTACTTGTTAGATGCTGATGCAACTGACAGGGCGCTGCTTCAATCGTCTAAGCCATTCCTGCACACTATTGTTTACTGTAATGCGTTTATTTCCACTTTGTTAGCCAGCAGATTTCTGTTGCCAGACTCCACTTGCAGCTTTATACCCTAACTCATCAGCTAGTATGCGTACCTTTATAGTCATACACTTCATATCTAACGTTACGTACCTTTTGGGGCCAGAACAGATATAAAAGTGAGCCTTGGGATGTAAATACAGGAGAAGAGTTTCGGGTGGGTGCAGGACTAGCCGAGGCTTACAGTATGACCTGGTGTGCTGTGGAGTATTGTGAAGCCAGCGGTGCTATCTTGCACAAGCTCTTGCAACACCACTCTCCTAACATTCCTCACTATGGGAGGACTCTCATTCACCAAGCCATCTTATGTAACAATGAAAGAGCGGTAGAGGTTCTGTTAAATTGCGGTGCAGATGTAGAAGCTCCAATTAAGACAACAAATTCAGAAACTGACTGCCCGTTCACATGGTGTCACGACTTGGATTAAATAAGATTCTTCAATGATTGATTGGTGCCGGGTGCAATATCAACTCTCAGACAAAATCTGGACCAACTGCACAAATGATCCGTGCTAGTCTGCTAGATATAAACACCAGGAATGCCTTAAAATTCTGGCTTCTGACGGTGCTGATTTTGGCCTGGTGAATTCAGCTGGTCAGAGTGCAAGCGTAATAGCAGAGTCAGCAAGGTAGGCTCTTGGCTTCCGACAAGCAGTTGTAGATGTGATTTGACCCGGTGAAATTGTTCAATCAAGCGATACATCAGTATTTTCTCCTCAAATGCTTGTGACTCAAGCAAATGGTATTGAGGCTTTGAAGAAACTGATTGAGGGGGCAGACATTGATCACAATGAGCAAGATGAAAAGGGATACTCAGCTGCCATGATAGCTGCAAAGGGCGTTATCTAGAAACTTTCAAATTGCTTATCGATGCTGGGGCTGACTTAAACCTGCAGAATAAACGTGGCCAGACGGTAATGGAACTATTTGATACAAATTAAAACTCTGAAGAATTTGAAAGTTGGTGCTTAAGAATGCTGCACCTCAAAAGGTGCTTGATAGTCCTGTTGAGTTTTATGGGACTCTACATCAGGCAGCACAACACGGCCCCACAGATTTTGTTCATACATTTGATAAGCAGGGGCTCTGATGTGCGTCTGATGCCGATGGATACACTCCGTTGATGTTAGCAGCAAGAGGAAGCCACTGTGCGAGCCTTTGATTTCTTTAGGGGCAAAATGCGACATTGCGAATGCTAGATACGAGACAGCACTCTTGCTTGCAAGGAAAAGTAGGATACAATAGAAATCAAAGATCTTTACCACATAGGGCTCCACAAAGTCAAATCCAAGAACAACATCAGCCAATTTTCCTTCAAAAATTCACAAACCAACAATCCAAACAAACATCAACCACATTCTTCAGATGATCAAAAAACACAAAACAAAAGAAAATTGATTGATTGATTAAACAATTAATTGAAATTCCAAACGGGAGCTTTCTCAATCGAATTGCATAACTCACAGCACCTCATCCTCGGGTTCGGGCAACGGAGGGGGGTCTGAGCCTTCACTTTGCGGTTACCTGGCTGTTGAACCACCTCCGAGTGGCCTCTCCGTGGTTCACAAGAGTGCGAATGAAATAGATAGAATAAATTTACAAATTTGCAGAGGTTAACGATTCCGAACCCAATCATTCAATCACAAATTAAACAAATTTACGAGATTGGAAGCAAAATCAATGAAATTGATTCAGCGAGTGCACCGTTTTCGAACCTGAACTTATTGAATCAGGCATCGCGGCGGTGACCCACCTGACAATGAAGGGATTGCTGCAAATCCTTTTAGAAATCGCTTGCAGTTGCAGACATTCGAGCGTTCAAAGAAGAAGCCATGGAGAACTCAAAGAATAAAAGGGAGGTGAAGGCTTCGAACTCGCGCTCGCGTTCGCCGTCGGTTTCATTGGAATTTGGGAGATAATTTAGTAGAACAGTCCTTTTTTAGTGCAGAGGATTTTGCAGAGTTATCTGTTCGCTGGAATTTGGAGGTGGTGGTGGTGGGATGGGAGCGTGGCTTTCCTTTTCTGGGTTTGAATCGCGGCAGTTTGGAGATGGAGATGGCAGCATTGAGGTTGATACCAGAGAGACTTGAGTCGACAGTATTTTGTTGAGTTAGGTGAGTGGACAGTGTCACAAGATAAGAGAGGCCACATCTTTTTCAGGAATGAGGATCTTCCTCTTGTAAGAATTTCGAGAATTTTTTCAATAGTGTTTGTTCATTATATATTGTGGATCAATTTTTGTCGGGTATTATTTTTGTTTAATTTTAAATAAAAAAATTAAAAATAATTTTTGATTCCACAATGTATAATAAACGAACACGATTAAAGAATTCCGAAATTCTCACAAAGAAGATCCAAAAAAGATTCTATTGGCTTTTTTAAGTGTAGAAGATTTGATAAATAAGATACAAAGCCGTTTAAGTATGCGTGGATTATGATGTATGATGATTTTTTTTATATAACGATATTTTATATTTAACGAAAAAGAGATAATCTACATTAACACAAACATTCAATAAACATTACATTTACAAAAATATTAAAAACATAAATACACAGATCCAAAATATTAAAACAAAAAATTAAAAAAAAATCCAAAATATTAAAATTACACACTTCAGCAAATAAATATAACAAGTATCCAAATATAAAAACGTAGCCGGTAGGAAAAGACTACTATTGTTCTAATACATTCAAAAAAAGAGGAATGGACCGAGCATTTTGCTGATAGCTAAGCTCTCTCTCCATCTTTCTACTCTGAAAATAACATTGGAAGAGAAAATAATTAAAATATATATAAATAAGATATACTCATACAAAATACAAAAGAAATAAGTAACGTAACAAACATTTGTTTAGTTGTAGCTTGTCTAATTTTTTGTTGCCAATTGTAGCATTTGTAATTTTTCAGTGTATTTTATATTTGAGCAACATCAACAACTCGGATATTATATATGAGTGCATTTTTGTTCACCACCATTAGTGTGGTGTATGCTCACCATTCTATTTATCACCGTTAGATGAGTTTGAATTTTAAGATTTGTATTTATCCACTACACGAATCTCAAAATTCAAATACATTCAACGATAATAAATAGAGTAGTGAGCATACACCACACTAAATGGTAGTGAGCAAAAAGACTCTTTTTTATGCAAATCATAGTTAGTAAAATATGGAACACTTGTGGTGCATTGGTATCATTCGAGAGTTTTTTTTATTTAAATGTGTATACTCGCATAATATATGAATATACCCCAAAAAAGATAAACATGAATTAATTAAAATGATTTTTTTATTTTGACAAAAAAAATGATTTTTTTATAAAATAATTATAAGAAGAACGCATAAATCACTTAGGTTTTAAATTAACCTTTGGGTTAAAACATAAATTTTTGTTTTAAACGAACCCACTCATTTTTCAATAGTTGAGTCTAAAATAAGTTTTGGGTTAAAACCTAAAATTTGGGTAATTTTAAATACAATGAATATAATGGCTGAGGTCGAATATGATCAAAACCACGGTAAAAAAAAGATCCAACGGTCCAAAATTAAATCTAAAGGCTAAAACAATTGAAAAAAATATTTAAATCAAAATTTACCCAAAAACTCTATAATACATGTTTCATAAGGTCCATTTAGTGAATTTTTAACTTTTCTCGGAATCTAAATATTTGAATATTGAAATGTTTATAAAAATAAATATGATAATCTTTATTTTGAAAAAATTACCAAAAAAAATTAGTCTAAATTCATTCTTTAATAATTTGGGCTAAAATTTTAACCAGAACAACTGGAGCACACAGACTGTTTCTGAGTTAAATCTAGATTTTCTAAATTAAAAATTTTAAATTTTAACCAAAAGTTGGAGATGATCTTAGAATGATTCTTTCAAAAACAAAGGTTAATATGTCCCACACATATTAATCAAAGGAAAACTAATGAAAATGGCTTGAAAACTTTGAGTTTTAACGATAAGGACAAAATAAAGGGTAAAGTGAATAGTATCAAGATTGACTTTTTAATGTAAAAATGTGGTTTTTTGTTAAAGTAAATAGTACCGAAAATTTTTCGTTAAAGTTCCCATTAATCAATAAAAAAAAATATAAGAAAAAAGCAAAAAAGTATGATCAGACTTTAAATACCCAAATTTTAGTGTTTAATATGATGTAGTTCCAAAAGTCAGCCATGACATGCATCGCCTGGTCCCAGTTGTTAGATATGACAAGGATAGCCCGATCCCAGTTGTCAGATATGACATGGATCGCCCCATCCTGGACATTTCGAAATTTTAGGTTAAGCAACAATAGGACAGCTAGAACAGGATTGAAGGAATAAAGCATTGGATTATAAAATTGGGGTGCAAGGATACCACGCAGCGCGAGCCAATAGGTAGCCCACACTAAGCCAAGCCCTACCCAGATAACAAAGCGATATAGAAGTCCGGCGGAAAGGACAAAAAGTCCAAACCAAACAAAAGACAACGCTGCCGTGGCCACTACAGAGAAAATGTAGAAAGGAGGAAGGCATGGGTAGTTATTCAGTTTGCAGTCGTAACTAGCCGCATCGGCGGAGAGAGGTTTGACAAAGTAGCTCGAATCCACCCCACAGGAAACATAATGGTAGCTAAGGCCAAGATGATGGTCAAAGTCAAGTGTGTTTGCGGATTTGGATGAGGGTTTTGATTTTCATAGTCCGCCATGATGGTGGTCGAAAGAGGCAGCTGGGAGCAGAAGGGGAGAAATAAGAAATGAGAGTTGAGGTGGGGATGGCGGTAAGGATGTGTTTGAGTGCTGTTAGGGAGTGAGGGCGGGGGTAATATTTATACTCTTTTTTCCTATGTGTGGTCAAAGCATACGTCTTTACTTTTGCCTTTGCTATCCACGAAATTGGATCCCCACAAAATGGATTCCGAGAGGATCCTTTTTCCGCTTGCCATCCATCCTACTGGGTTGGATTTCGAGATGATCCTTTTTCCTCTTGCCATCCATCCTAATGGGTTACTTTTGCCATCCCAGATCCCCCAAATACTGTAATGGGAACCATAAATCATAAAAGGTGAACTTTGTGGAGTCAAAAATGTTCACTAGGCGACATGTGGATTTTTGCACAGAAGAGGACAAAAATACCCTTGAGGCATACTAGGATTCCTACGCTCGAGCAGCGGGCAATCATCCTCAACCAAGTCAAAAATCCTCCAAAAAAGAGGTAAACAATTCAAAGTCTATCTAATCAAATCTCTTTTTGCAAGGTAACCTCCAAAATAATGTTAATTGGTTAATTAATGGATTAATTACCCAATTAATCCATTAAATATCAATTAAATCATCCAATTAACCACCAAAATATATCTCATTCAACCCTAAAAATAGGCAATGGCCGGCCACCTCCCTTTCTTCCTAACCTTTTTCATTTTTCTCCATTTTATTACCCCATTTATACAAATAATCAATTTTGTAACCACCAATTTATTCTTTAGGGTTTAATTAGCCAATAAATTGACCAATTAAACCAAAATCATAACCACAAAATCCCTTCAAGGCTGGCCACACCTTGAGGGAAAAGAGACAAGCCTAATCCTATAAATAGGCTCCTATTTTCACCAAAAATTCATTCCAACACTTTGGCAAAAATCTCAAAATTCTCTAAACACTATTTCTCTCTAAATTCTAACTTTGGCATCAGAGGTTCTTCGGCCAAAACCCCCCCCCATTCATCGTAGGCGCGTGAGGCTCTTGGCCTTAACCTAAGGTGTTAATTGTTTTGTAGGTGCAAAATTGTCCAAGATCAAGGAGGAAGAAATTTGCATCCACAAACTTGAAATACAATGTGAAGCTTCCAAGACATTCATTGAGCAATGGTAATCCCTTGCATAAAATGACAGCTTCAAAAGGTGCCTCTATTCTTCTCAGACGAAGTCTCAATTAGATTTATGCTTAAATTAAATATCAACCTTATTATTTATCCGTAATTTAAAGTCATAAAATCTAAAAAATAATTCATGCAATTAAATATCAAATTTTGTCACTTAGTACTACGGTCTAGTGATATTTCTCTTCACTTGTAAGTGAAAGGTCTTAGGTTTGATTCTCGCCAATGACAAATTTGAACCACATTATTGTTAGTCCATTATGAGGCTAAACCTACCTTTTCCCTCTTAGTGTAGATAATATCGTTTGTTCAAATTATATGCATACTCACAAATAAATACAATGACAATACACGTGAAATATGAGTTCGAAAAACCTAAGAGCTCCTAATTAGAATTTAGGTAGGATTTAAAAAAAAATAAACCGAATTATTCTCCAGTTAAAGATGAGGACATTCGAGGTAAAGTAAGAGTGGCCGCAATTGAAGATAAGATGAGAGAAAATCTGTTAAGGTGGTTTGAAAATGTGAACCGAAGACCTACAAATGGTGCGATTAGAAAATGCGACAATGAGACGAAGACTCAGGGCAAAAGGGGTAGAGTAAAGACCTACAAATACTTGAAAATAGACTTTAAGAATAGATATGGAGTACGTGGAGCTAATGGAAGCTTTGACGTAAAAATGAGTGCAGTAGCGTTCTATGATTCATATAGTCGGCCTCACTTAATGTGATTATGCAAATCCTTATTGGGATTCTATAATATTTTTTAGATAGTTTCCTGATTGTAATTGTATTCCTTCGGGACTAAGATTATATCTCCCTAAACACTATAAACAAATGCACAGTGGGTTAAGATAACATACACCACAAAATTCACCAATTTTCTCTTCTCTCTCTTGTTGCTGGCCTCCTCTCCATCTCTTTATAATACCTTAGTAAAATAGCCCTAAAACAAGTTATCAGCATGCTTCCGCTGCTGCGTTAAGGACTTTGAGGTGGTTCTTCTACAACTAGCATTCAAAAGCTTTCTTACCTTCAAGGATTGTGACATTCACACTACTATTCTTAGTTGTTTTTTTTTTTTTTTTGGTCTCAGTTTCATATCTGAACTTAAATTTGTCTAATACTTTAATACTTATGTTAGGTTTTCCGTCAAATTTTCTATTAAGTGATGATGTAACATAACTTTGGCCCACCATGTTTGTCAAGAATTATCACTAGACACTATGGCTTGGATTTACAAGAGATTCTCTCATCCACGTGGCTAGGGATGAACAACGGCTATGGCGGGCGGGTAACCGTAATTATTTACCCATTTACCCTTTTTTTTACTCGTCTACACGTTTTTTATCCATTTATATATACATTTAACATGCATTTCCGTATTTCAATCATTTAAATCCCCATACCATTTCAATGCAGAAAGTTTAGGATATATATATAATTTATACATGTACATAAGTTAAAAAAAAACCACTTTGATACGAGCATCAAGTCTCAACAATGTGTATAGCAGTGTTCCTATGGCAAGGCCACCCACTTTACCCTTTCCTTCTCTTGCAAAACAGAGATGAATATCACAACAGGCAAGTTTAAGAATTAATCTACTTTTATCATGTCATTAGGAGGTATTGGGGTTTACAATAAAACTGATCATTTTTGTCATTAATAGGCAAATTTAATAATGCAACATGTCATTAAATCAAAAGTATGCAAAAAATAATATGTATCACATGTACTATATGAACTAATAAATTACTTCAAAATTCGATTTTGTATCGTCCACGAAGCATCAATAAAATGAGAAGTGATAGCCATAAACCCTCTCTTTTGATTACTTGAAGAGAACCGACTGTTTTGCCGTAGATGAGATATAGGATAGCGAGGAGAGAGATGAGCGACAAGATTCTGAGATATGTCGAATAATTTTAAGGTTTTTTTAATTTTTTTCTTATTTTATATATATTAGAATAAACGGTTAAATAGGTATCCATTTATAACCACGGATAATACCCATAACTGTTCATTTAAATTTCACAATTAAACGGTTATACCCATAACCGTTTATTTATTTAACTAGCCACCCTTAACTGTAACCATTAATTTTAAATGGTCGGGTAACCATAGTTACCTATACCCGTGGATATTTTGCCCATCCCAACACATGGCAAACATGGTTGGTCAAAGTTATACCATGTTACCACTTACGAAAAACTTGACGGAAAACCTAATAGAAGTAATAAAGTGTTAGAAAAACTAAAATTTAGGTATGAAATAGAGAGAAAAAAACTAAAATAGAAATGTGCGAATGTCACGATACTTGAAGATAATAAAATAAAAATTGTTAAAAAAAATAAATTTCAAATTCATATTGGCAGCATCATATCTAGGTAGAAGCAGAATGTCTCCCACACTAATCCAACACTCGATCCTCAATAACTTTTGTATGACTTTTGACCATAACACCAGCATTTAAAAAATCTTCAATAAAAAAATTACCCTTACTCCTAAGCCATATTAAACAAAAACCTATTCTTATTAAATTTTCATTTGTAAGTCCAGCATCATTCCACCAATCACCAACTCCAGAAATACAGTCTAGACAACGGGGCCCTTCCCTTTCCGATTGGACTGACTCGGGGAAGGGTTAATCTCCTCCGGAGCATGCCACACCGGCTTTTCTCCGTTTGTTAGATTTTTTTTATTTTTTTACATAATTGATAATGTGAAATCAAAGCAAAAAACTTTTTTCCCTAATTCAACCCTTTTTCTTTCTTTGAGTCTTTTCGCACATTGTCGGCCAATCAACATATGTGTGTGAAGGGCAAAAGACTTTGTGATTCACGCCAACAATACTCATTTTGTACTTGCTTAGTACTTGCGCTAAGGATCGAAAAGCTTAGTATAAAAAAAATAAAAAAAACACTTTTCTATGAGTAGCAAAGCTAAAAAGCTAATTTAGATCGATACTCACCCAATCCTGCATTAACAACCCCAACCAAGAGGAATGAAAGCTCATCAAGAGCTGCATTAACCCCAACCAAAAGGACTTGGTGACCCAATCAGGAATTGGAAATCACACTAGGGACTTAAATGAGTCCCAAATGTCCACAATAGGGACTCGATGCTGGCTAAGGTTGAGAATTGTTTGATTTGAGCCATGAGACCAAAAGGTGACTGGTGATGATGGCTTCCCAACACTTTGTCTTTGTTACTTGCCACTTAACCAACTAATCACAGTACAAGATTATTATTATTTTTTTAATAAAGCGAGAAGGAGAAGTAAAATCGGTTAGAATCGAATTGCCAAATTGTATATAGACACACTCTAAACGATAAGGTTTTTTTTAGCTTTTATAATTATAAAGAAAACTAACGAAAAGTTCTCAAAAACTTTAATTTTAATGAAAAATGATAAATAAATGTGTAAGTGAATAGTATCAAGAAAAGTAAAAATATGATTTTTTGTTAAAAATAAACAGTATCAGAAGTGTTTCTTTAAAACTCTCATATGTACGTGACTTTTGTTTTTGGTATTCATAAAAAAAAATTCTTAAAAACATGAAAATAGTATTCACACAAAGAAAGCACAACGATAGTCCCATCTCACTTAAAAGTCCCAGGTACCCAGCTGTGTCCGTGCATCATCGGACTGACAAAGTGGAGAGATTTTTCAGTGTTCTCGTCATACGAAGTGGTACATCATGTATTCTTATATAAATAGTGGGTTATGTGTGTTAAAAGGTTCATAACTTGAAAATTAAAATTTTTCACCACTTAAATAAATACACATGATGTACCATCCATATTTCCGTCCCAACTAAAAATTTTCCGACGAAGTGACACCAATCTTTGTACCTCTTGACAAATAAGAACTCATCACCTACAGTAGTTCCCACAATTACGATGCTCAACTCATCATCCATCTTCTTCAATTTCTCCGCCAGTAGATAAGAAATTGCACAAAATAAAAACAAGATACTATTTCTTTGAAAGTTGCAGCAGGCATTGACTATGAGACTTGTACTGCAAAAAATGAAGGTGGTTCCACGAGAAGCTGAGAAACTGAACGTAAATAATGCTGGGTTTTTGGCACAGAAGCGTCTTGCTCGCGGATTGAGGCTCAATCACCCTGAAGCTGCAGAGCTCTCATAGCCACACAGGTGTGTTTTTTGCTCCAAAACTTGACCTTTTTATCAAATTTACAAACTTGGAACGGATTTCGGTAATGGGTTTTGTAAAGGAAACGTTTTTGTTTGATGTGTTTGTGTTTGTAGATTTTGGAGTTCGTTCTAAATGGCGATAAATCTGTGGCGGAATTGATGGACATTGGGAGGCAACTGTTGGGTAGGTAATGGTGTGAACTGTGAAATTTTATCATTTGCCCTGTTTTTGTAGATGGAATGTTAATTCTGGATTCTGATTGTTGAATAGTATCTGGGTTGCCTTCCTTTTTACCCAATCAACCAATCTTGTATCCCTAATTTCGCCTGGTTGCTCAAGATTGATCAGCACAGTACTTTTTCAAACAGGAAACAAGTTCTTCCCGGTGTTCAATATCTTTTGGATATGGTGCAGGTATTATGCTCATTGAGGTTGTTTGCATTTGCTTCGAAAAGCCTTAAACATAACGATTGCTGCTGAAAACTTCTCATAACCCTGACATAACATGCTGCCTAAAATCATTTTTCTCGAGTAAGATATAAATGCAGGTCAAAGGGACTTTTCCTGATGGGAACAAGTTAATCGCCATTCACCATTCACGATCCAATTTCTAGGGATAACGGAAATTTGGAACTAGCTTTGAAGGATTCTTTTCTTCCTGGTAAGGGCTTTCGGATATTCGAAGTTTCGGATGACTTCTTTTGGGACCTATTATGGGCACTTATGCAATAATATTTTCTGCAGTACCCTCACTAGACAAGTTTCCTGAAATGGAAGATGGTGAAATTCCCGGTGCAATTATCTATGGATGGTACTGTTGTGCTTATTCATGGAAGGAATGTTGGCGTGAGTCAACCTTGGGTTTAAGGAATATGGATATATTTTGGGTATGAAATCATGTAATCGATGTCCTCATATATTTGGGATTCTTATTTCCTATTTCATAGGAGCTTGCAGCAGTATGTATAATCCTCTACATGAGAAGAATAAAGTAATACACTTTAAGGTTTGTGTTTGTCAAGCATAATGAAAATGTCGCGGCTCACGCTGTTGTTTCATATGTTACTTTACATGGAGGTGCTTTCCGTTAGGATGCTCTTGATCTGAAATTTTTATTTAATATTCTTGCGAAAGATGTAAACGTATCTATTAAAATCTAATAAAGTTCACCTTTTGACAAAAAAAAATTATTTAATATTCTTGTGAAAGATGTAAACATAGTTATTAGAATCTAATAAAGAAAGATGTAAACATGGTTATTAGAATCTAATAAAGTTCACCTTTTGACAAAAAAAAAATATTTATTTAATATTCTTGTAAAAGATATAAACGTATCTATTAGAATATAATAAAGTTCATCTTTAGACAAAAAAAATAAATAAATAAATAACATATCATTACAATTCTAACTTGGCATGAGCAGGTTCTACCTCTCTTCCCGACTCAAAACCCTAGAGCCGATTGAACCATTGCAATCCGAAGCAAGGGAGGCATCAGATATATCCAGTTCTTCTGGAAATTCTGAAACAAGACAAACAAACGAGAGAAAATTAAAAAATTAAAATTAAAAAATTAAAAAAAAAAAGAGAAAAAAACAACAACATAAACCCAGAAACAAAAACCCAACCCACTGCAATGGCTGATGAAAAGCAAACTCATGTGTTGGTGCCTGGAACGGCTGCAGCTGCAGCGAATGGATCAGAACAAGAGAAAGCTTCTGTTGCAGCAGCCCAAGTTGAGCCCAAAATCATGAGGCACCCCTTGGTAATACTATTTTTCATATTTAAATGGGTTTATTTTTATCATAAATAGTAATTCACCCACACCATCATGATGTGACAGTGACGCATAAGTAGTGTTTTTTTTTTTAATCACAAAGGTCTTCGAAATTCATTCACCTTATATTTGAAATAAAAAATTCAATCAATCTAATCCTAAGAATAGTTGTCTCAAATCAATGTTCTTCTTCTATCACAATTTTGTAAAAATTATATTATGTGTTGATGTGACATATAATAGGTCTTACAAGTCTAATTAACTCTAAAATAAATTAAAATTTTAATTTCTGTTTTCGATATTCATAAAAAAATTCTTAAAAACAAAAACAAAATATTCACCCAAAGAAAGCAGAAAGAAAGTGCTACTCTACATCTTCCTTGTTTACACAAAGAGAACACTAACAAACATTCATATATTTCATAACCGTCTTCCTTCTTATACAAGCTGACCATTTGTAGTCGTTCTCTACTAACCTTCTAACTAACCAACTTCTTACAACAATTACCAATCAAAAGATGCCATCTGTCAGAGCATCCTAACAATACCCCCCTTAAAACTGGTCTTACAGATCAACATAGTAAAATTCTGTAGAAAAAATTACAACACAAAACTCAAACAATTTGCACACACAGAAAAGTACAACATAAAATTTCAAAGATCAACAATTTCTGGAAACTTGATCTTCAAATCATTGTAATTCTCCCAAGTAGCATCCTCCTTGGAGTGATTTTACCATTGCACTAGAACTTCAATCACTACAAAGTTGCCTTTCTTTACCATTCGTTGATCACAAATCCGAATGGGAACATCTTGTAATATACCAGCATCAGTAATAAGTTAATAACTGGCAACGGAACTGTGGTTTGCATATGTTCTCCCAAATGTTTTTTTAAACAGGACACATGGAACACCAGATGCAACTTAAAGTGATCTGGAAGTTTGATCTTATAAGCTACATTGCCTATCTTAGCTAATACTTGGAATGGCCCATAGAAGCGAGGTTGAAGCTTGTGAAAATGATCTGCTGCCAAGGATTTGTGTTGGTAAGGCACTAGTCGAAGATAAACCTAATCCCCCACGGCCAAAACCCTCTCAATCCTCTTTTTATCCCCCTGAACTTTCATTTGACATCTGGCCGCCTCCAAATTACTCTTGAGTAAAGATAAAATGCTATTCCTCTCCTTCAAGCATTGCTCCACTGAGTCTACTTTGGTAGTACCAATTTCATAAATAGGTACAAGAGGAGGAACATAACCATATACTGCTTCAAAAGGTGTCATCTTAATGGTTGAATGGAAACTAGTATTGTAACTTCACTCTACCCAAGATAACTAAGGAACCCATTTCTTGGGCTGCAAGGTGCAAAAGCATTGCAGTAAGTCTCCAAACACCTATTAAGAACCTCAGTTTGCCCATCAGTTTGTGGGTGATATCCCGAACTAAAACAAAGCTCAGAACCTTGGAAGTGAAAAAATTCCTTCCAGAACTTGCTCATAAACACTGGATCCCTGTCACGACTATGGATTGTGCATTCCATGTAATTTGAATATGTTATCCACAAAGAGTTGAGCTACCAAGGAGGTCAAGTAAGGGTGATTCAAAGCAGTGAAATGTGCATATTTAGATAGTCTATCCACGACTACCCAAATCAAAGTTTTCCCTTTGCCGGGAGGGAGATTGGTGATGAAATCCATTGATATGTCAAACCAAACCTTAGATGGAATAAGTAATGGCTGCAAGAGTCCAGCAGGTGACAGGGTCTCATACTTATTTTGCTGATAAATAGTACAACTCGCCATTTTCCTTTTAATGTCCTTTTTTATTCCCTCCCAATAGAATGCTTTGGAAATCCGTTTATAAATCTTTAAAAAAACCTTAATGGCCAGCTACACGGCTAGAATGAAATTCAGTGAAGACCTTATCTCTCCAATGCTTGATGGGCTTAATACAATTATGTGTTTGTATTTCAAGAACCCATTATCCAGATGAAAACGCAAGATACCAATGGAAACATCATCACACTAAGATTGTAGTAATTGCTGAGACTTAGCAATAATCCAATAGTCTTTCTCAGTATACCTTCGTAAATCATCCAACCAAGAAGAGTAGGGGTAAGAAATTGCACTGATAGAACTGATAGTCTGAGAACTAACAATGTCATAGGACACCCGAGATAATGCGTCTGCAGCTTGATTGTCACACCCCTTCTTATATTGTATCTCATAGTCAAAACCAAGAAGCTTGGTAACCCACTTTTGTTGGAAAGAGGTATGAGTTCCTCCTTCCAAAAAATACTTCAAACTGTGGTGATCAGTTTGAATAATAAAATGATTCCCTACTAAGTAAGACTGCCACTTTTGTACTGCATGTATAATTGCCAACATCTATCTCTCTCATAGGCTGATAAAGCTTGGTTTCTTGGGCAAAGAGCTTTACTGGTAAACGTTATTGGTCTCCCTTCCTGTTGTAACACAACTTCAATCCCATGCCCGGAAGCATCACTTTCAATGACAAAAGGTTTATTAAAATCCGGTAGGGCTAAAACTTGGGGTGAAAACATTACTTGTTTGAGACTGTTAAAGGTTATCGTAGCTTCAGGAGACCATTTAAACCCATCTTTCTTCGTGAGAACCGTGAGAGGACTTACTATCTTCCCAAATTGAGGTATACATTTTCGATAATAACCTGTTAACCCAAGGAAACCCCTTAATGCCTTAACTGATGTAGGCGTGGGCCACAAAGCTATTACTTCTAATTTTGCAAGGTCAGCAGATACACCATGTTTAGACACTATATGACCCAAATATTCCACCTGATCCTTACCAAATGCACATTTGGATAGTTTAACAAATAAGGAATGCTGCTGCAGAGTTTCAAACACCACGTTCAAGTGTTGCAAATGTAAAGACCAAGAAGTACTATAGACCAAAATATCATCAAAGAATACGAGAATGAATTTCCTTAAGTATGGTCTAAAGATTTCGTAATGAATTTCCTTAAGTATGGTCTAAAGATTTCGTTCATGAGGCATTGGGATGTGGCCGGTGCATTTGTAAGTCAAAAGGGCATAACCACATAGTGCCCATCATGTGTTCTAAAGGTTGTTTTCTCCACATCTTGAGGGTGCATCCTTATCTGATGATAACCTGCCAGTAAATCTAACTTGGAAAAGAATTGTGCACCAAATAACTCATCCAACAATTCATCAATAAGAGGAATAGGAAATTTGTCCTTAATTGTAATACTATTAAACCCTCTGTAATCCATGCACATTCTCCATGTACTATCCTTTTTCCTAACCAAAATAACAGGAGACGCATAAGAACTGTTGCTTACCCTTATGAACCCTGATTTCAGAAGATCTTTCACACACTTTTCGATTTCTGTTTTTTGCACAGGTCCATCTCTGTATGGTTTACTGTTTGGTGGAGAGCTGCCTTCAATCAAGGGAATTCTGTGGTCTTGAGTTCTATGAGGAGGTAGTGCATTTGGTGGAAGAAACACCTCTTCAAATGCTGCCAATAGGTAATTCAACTCCAACTGTTGATGATCTGTAAGGTTCGTAGAATTGGAACTTGTAGTGTTTGACTCCATATTATGCAAGAACATGGGTTTAGTTTCCAATTGGTAGAGTACTGCACCCACTATAATCTCTTGCTGCAATAATTTTTGCATTTGTAAAGCTAAAATATCCTCAAAAGTATTACTAACATTTGTAGGACTTGTGATGCAAAAGGTCCTAGAATCTTTGGAAAACTGCATATACAATTTATCAAAGTCCTAGAGAATAGGACCAAATGTTCTCAACCACTGAATTCCTAGTACAATATCACACCCCCTAATGGAATAGCATACAAGCCCATGACAAATTGGAAATCCTGGATCCTGACAGAAACTTGAGCTAAGGTACCTTTGGTAGCTACTTTTCCCCCATCAGCAATCTTAACATTAAACAAATGCTTAGTATCCAATTGTGTTCTTAACCGTTTCACCAATCCAACATCCACAAAGTTATGAGAACTGCCAGAGTCAATCAATATACTAGTTGGGCAATTTTTAATCGAGCCACCCACCTTTATAGTGTTAATGAAAGGTCGTGCAGGGGTACCAAACAATGCACAGGCAGTTATCTTAGGTTCCTCATTTTCTAAACCATCAATATCATCATCACACAGAATCCTGAACATCAATTAGCAATAATTGTTTCTTCTCGCAGGCATGACCCTGAAAATATTTCTCTTTACAATGAAAGCA